ATTTAAGACCAGTTAGAAAACAAGACTAGTACCATGGCAGGCAAATAGGGCAGATTGTTTTTGTGCGGTCTTGCTGTCCTCATCACACTGTGACCAGGTATATTTACTTTGGCTCTGTGAAAGTGTTGCCCTACACTACTATTTTGAGGTTTAACAAGTTTGGGGGAGGGTCCCAGGCCTAAAACAGATGATCTGTGAAGATCTAAAGATTTAGAATAAAATCAGTGCATGTGCTTAGATGTGAATGGAATCATGGAAAAACTCATCTTGTTACAGGCTGATGAAAGAATACTTTTTCCTTGATTTTTGATCAGGTCCTGGCCCTCATGGAAAAAAAAAACACCAAAACATCGTTTCATCACAGGAAGGACCAAAGTTTCCTTCCTTTCTGAGGAATCTGTTGACTGTGGCTATTTCTGTTTGAGCAAAGTACACAGTCATTGGTCAACAGTAAACGAAAACAACACAGCAAGAATAGAACTGTGTTAACCAAAGAATGAAAAATAAAATTTCCCCAGAAGTTCTGCATTGGACCCTTAGTAATATCACCTCTGTTTTTTCCTAGAGAAGAGAGAATAGTTTAAGTAAAAGTTCCCCACCTCCCATCCAAGCTAGAATTGTGGTTTGCTATGATTAAACAAAAGTGACTGACGGGGGAGGGAAGACAGTTCCCTGGGAATTACTGATAACTCAGTTACCTTTCAGATAATGTTATGTTCTAGCTTTAGCTCTTTATATTCATCACCCTAAACTGTCAAAGTCAACATTCTTAGAAGAATTATTAAAGAATGGCTATTTCATATCCTTTTATTTAGTCCATCCTTTATCTTGTGACCACAGACCACATGACAACCTCTCTGGGCCTCAGTTTGCTGATTTTAGTAATTTGCCCTGTTGACTAAATGTAAAATAATAAAAGAACTTTAAAAAAAAATTAAATGGTATTTATATTACAGTTGAATTACTCCATTGCTGGCAACAAAGTATTCTAGTTCTGGCTTGAATTCTTCTCCAACTACAATGTATCAGAACCCTGGATGTGGGATCAAAAATTCTGAATTGGATTTCTTGCTCTTCAAAACTTTGGGCAAGTCCCTGGACCTCATTTTTCTCATCTGTAGAATGAGAGCCTCAGACTAGATAACTTTCCATATTTAAGTCCAGGAAAGTTAGTCAAGGTCAATTCTTAGAGAAAAATAAATACTGTAGAACTGAGCTGCAAAGTTAATGCGGTGGTTGTGATGGGGGGAGAGACGGACTTTGGGTGGATACTCCCATAATAGGCTTTCCAAGTACACATGACAACCAAAATTAAGGACGAACTTTATTTTGGGAATGAGGAGGCAAGACTGGGATATTTATAATAGTGAATTAAAAAATAACAGTGTAGTTATGTCTCTTTTCAAGAACGATATTGTGGTTTGTATTGTAAACTTTCCAATACATATTAGCATCTCTTCTCTAATTATTGAAGGACTTTCATGTTCTAGCTCTATTAATTTCTTGTAACTATATCTTCTGATGATTATATTTTTTTCCCCATACAGGCCTGGATAAACCCATTCATGTGGAAATACACTTATCAGAAATTGGATTTCATTTTTTGATACTTTTTTTTTTTTTGGCTAGGCAATGGGGTTGAGTGACTTGCCCAGGGTCACACATCTAGAAAGTGTTATGTTTCTGAGGGTGGATTTGAACTCAGGTCCTCCTGAATCCAGGGCTGGTGCACTGCGCCACCTAGCTGCCCCTGGATTTCATTTTTTGAAATCAACATATGCTCTGATAAAAAACTGTGACAAGAATCTCTTACAGGGTCTTGTTTATGTTGGAAGGTATTTTTTCTAGAAGTGTGCTGGAGTCAACTCTAACTAGATCACTAGAACTGACTTAAATTCTTAGGATGAGCATTTACACCTCAGAAATTGGCAAAGCCTGGGCAGGTAGGCAGTGCAGCAGATACAGTACTAGCCCTGGAGTCAGGAGGACCTGAGTTCAAATCCAGCCGCAGACACATAACACTCACTAGCTGTGTAACTCTGGGTAAGTCACTTAACCCAAGAAATTGGCAAAGCTACAAATCAGAACTTAATTTATTGTTTTGTTGATTGTTAATAATACAGATCAGATTTAAAATTGTGTCCTATGTACATTCTTTCCAGAAATATGATTGTTAAACATTAACTAACTTATCACTAGTTTTTCCCTCCATTTTTTTTATATATAAGCTCAGTGACTTAAACTCATCCAAATGGAGAAATGTAATTCCCAGGCACTTCATTTTATTTTGTCCAGTTTTTATTTATGTGTTTACCTGATGATAGGAAACTTTGAGAACATCTGGGTCATATGAATGACCAAAGAAGGCTAATCCCAAATCCTAATGGACCTGCTCAACACTGCTTCCTCTACACTTCTCCATATTTTGGCAAGGCAGTAGAATGGGACCCATAGACTTCATGCTCTGGGATCTATCTAACAACCTTCTTGCTGCTGCTGCCACACTTTCAGTCAGCATATCCTTCTCCTCTCCTCATTCCACTATCCCATCAAGACAAGCTGCAGAACTCACCTCTGCCCAATGCTACCCTCCACTCCTTATGTAGGAGGTTAGAGGTATAAGGAAGCAGAAGTGTACTCTGTGGTAGAGCAGAGCTCAGCCTGAAAAACCAAAGGCACTGGGGCAGAGGATCAATGCAAGTGTAAGGCTGCACCTAGTATTAAGGAAAGGGGACTGGATCCAGCTGGCAACAGTTCATTCCCCACAGAAGTCACTAGGAATAGGGACTGAGGTGGGTGAAAAGTAAATTCCCTTAGTTGGATGGAGGCTGAAGTCTAGCCCTAGGGAAACCATCCTCAAAGGAGTATTCTGAAAATGATCAATAAGGTAATATAAGGAAAAAGAATGAAATTGCCAAAGATCTGAGGAGGAAGAAAATTTGGTTAAAAACCTTGAGCGCCAGTAGGTGTATCAGCAGCAAAGATATTAAAACAGAAGGGAAAGTGGACTTAATGACATCTATATGAGTCCATCTATCTTGAATAAATATTGTAAGACAAAAGAAATGAATCAGTACTCGATGAGGCCAAGGACCTTATGGATTTCTTTTTTTTTTTTCTGGTGAGGCAATGGGGGTTAAGTGACTTGCTTAGGGTCACACAGCTAGTAAGTGTCAAGTGTTTGGTCTGAGACTGGATTTGAACTCAGGTCCTCCTGACTCCAAGGCCGGAGCTCTATCCACTGCACCACCTAGCTGCCCCAACCCTATGCATTTCTAAGAGAGAATGGGACCACATCAGGATGCTCTTAAATAGTTCAACAGAAAAATAAAAATCAAGTAATAAGAATTTATGGCCTACAAAACAGAAATAATTGGGAGAATGGAAAAACCTGAATCCAAAATGGTAAATCTCTGAATCTCTGTCTCTGTCTGTCTGTCTGTCTGTCTGTCTGTCTGTCTCTCTCTCTCTCTCTCTCTCACACACACACACACACACACACCATACCACACAGGAGAAAACAAGTAATTGAGAATGCAAATATATAGAAATGAAGGACAATCTAGGAAAAAAGGAGAAAAAAGCAATGACATTAAAAGAATTCTTGATCTTTATACAGGTAAACTACATTATTTTTGAAGAAAGAACATATAGGCAACTTAAAGATTGTAGGTAGCCCAGAAGAATACAAATCAAAAAACCTGAACAATTTAACACAAAAAATAATACAAAAAATTGCCAGGAACTTCTGAATACAAAAAACAAAATGACAATCAAAAGAATCCACAGATCACATCCAGAAAACAAAACAAAATCAAACCAAACCTATGATACAAAGTCCAGAACATCTAATGGTTAAATTTAACAATTCCAATGATGAACAGCAAATCCTGTAAGTAACCGGAAGAAAGACAAATAACACTAGACTATTCTGCAACCATCAGAAACTATGGAAGACATAGAATAATGTGTTCTGAAGCTCAAAAGAGCTCAAGATTCAACTCAGTGTGACACACCCTGCAAATCTAAACCTAATTATCCATGAAACGCTATGGAAATTCAAAAAAAAAAAGAGGCATTTCAAACATTCTTATAAAAAAAATGACACACGAGCAAATCATTTACTTTGCAATCACTCCAAACAACAGAAACAAAAGAAAAGTAAATTAGAGAAGCCAAGGAAGGCAGGGTAACAAAATGAATTACCTTAGGAAAAAAAAAGAAAGAAAGAAAAAGACACCTATGCAGTTAAAAATCACAAAATCACAACAGCAGGACTACTAAGAGATTCCTTCCTAAACATACGTAAGGAGACAAGGATGAAAATGGAACTTAAAATGGAAGAACTGATGGTTGAGGAATAGACAATAAGTATCTAAACTAAACCTTACAACATCTCACCTACAGGTAAATTGATTTTTTTTTTGTGAGACTAAACTGCAGAATGGGAAGGAGCATAAAAGAGAGAAAAGGAGAAGGGAATGTGTGATCTTCTCTAACTAACATGATGGTAGACTATGAAGGGAAAATAACTCAGCTCTCAGGGAGAAGACAGACTATAGGAGAATGCATGAGGTGGCAAAGGGAGGGATAGTAATGGTGGGGGCAGGGGAGGAAAGATAGGAAGTGATCTTGATTCATTCATGGGAAAGGGTCCCACTGAATAGTACTCCAATGGGAACAGAGAGATATTTTGTAATGGGAGATGAGGACCTCATACCTGGATATAATTTATGGAAATCTGTTGCTTAGAGAGACCATTATCTTTAAGTTGTGTCTCAATGGAAAAAAAAATCCTGTCTCAGGAGATGGGGAATCAAAGCTCCTAGTAGCCATTAATATCCAGAAAGGTGGTGGATAAGGACCCAGAGAGGAGATTTCATGGCAAATAGGAACAAATGCTAATAGGGATGGAAGTGGGTAGCAATGAACCACACAATTAGGGACACAGGAAAATTTCTAACATGAGGCAATACTTCTATCTTGTTGATCTCCCACAGGAATTGATACCTCTAAGATTGAGGTACAACAGAAAAAAAAAGTAGAGAAGACAAGACCTACAAGGTGGTAAGGAAGTAATGAGAAGGGGTAACTCAAAATAGAAGTTTTAATATCCACAAGGAATATGGGACTAACAAAGAAATATGTAAGTATAATGATAATGATTCAAAGAATAAAAACTAGAATAGGAACAAGAGAAAGATAAACTCTGGTGCTTCACATTTAGAATAAGAATAAAAGGAGACCCTCTGGAATATCTCAGGGTTAACAAAAAAGAATTTAGCCATGGCATGGAAAAGAAAATCAGCAAGATACAGCACTGATTGTGTGGAATGCAGCTTTCCAACTTCTTGGTTGGCCATGCTTACTCAGGCAGCCTGAGGGGGAAAATTCTCACCTCCTGGTCTGATGGCTTTCACATCCTGGCCAAGGAGAAGCCACAACCTGAGCCTTCATCCCCTGAGTGCATTTAATAACAAGGATGATTTAAACACCTTTTTAAGGAAAAAAAATGAGCTTAGTCTACATGGTAGATAATGTTCTTACAAAGAAAGGCAAGGTGTCACATATGACTCCACTCCCAGTCTGTGACTAACTGTGACCTTAAATAAATCACTTAAATATTCTGTGACTTTAAGTAAATCACTTAAACATTCTGGGCCTCTGTGTCCTCTCCTGGCAAAATTTCTAGATCATATTTTTAACAGGGTCATTAGTGGACATTTAGAAAAGGAAGCAGCAAACATGGAGAGTCAGCAGTACTTCATCAAGAGCAGGTCCTGATAAATTCATCTTCTTTCTTTTTTTTTTTTTGACAACATTAATAAAATGGTAGATATAGGAAATCTGCAGGTATTATTTACCTGAATTGTGTCTAGGCATTTGATTAAGTGAGAGAAATGACTATTTCTTTCTTGTATTTAATAACCAATTATCGAATTAGGACTAAGGGTTTTTTCTCCTCCCTTTTGTACTTCCTCATCCAGAAATCAACCACTGTGGGAAATCTGTTTCAAAGACTTACCCAGGCTAAAGGTCTAATCAAAGATAGTAAAAAAAAATTCTAAGTTTTGACTAATGGGTGGATGCCTGCTCATTGTGTTTACTCTGACAGGTCTGAGAAAATGTGGATTCTCTCTTTTGTCAGACAGTTGATATGGAAATTGATAAGTCTCTTTGGCCAAGATTTGGCTAATCTAAGTTGCATACCCCAAGACCTTCATTAGAATGAACCTTATAATATTCATTCTCTCATTAATTGTTAACCAATCAAAGTTTATTGCCACCCTCAGGAACACCTGCTCTTCCAAGGGCATGAAAACTGTGAGCCCACTGCCAGGAAGGGTCTTTGCCATTCGAGAGTGCCACTGACTAACATGCTAGCCTTATTAATAAAATGATTGAATTACCCAGAAGTTATGTCTCTTGAACTTCTTAAACATCACATAAGCATTTAATAATTTACCTGAAATTATATTTGTGGACATGATGAATAGATGTGGGGTAGATGATAAAACAATTAGATAGATTTAGAACTGGCTGAAGAGCTAGGCCAGTTAATGTCAATATTCTGTCAACTTAAGAGGAGATGTCTAGTTAAGGGAGCCAAGGACCTGTATTTGAACCTGTGCTTTTAACATTTTTATCAATGCTTTGTATAAAGTATATTTTGTATGCTTCTCAAACATTCAGAGGATACAGTGCTAGAAGGGATAGATACCTGACACAGTAGATAACCGTCATGATCCAAAAAAGATCTTAACAGGTTAGAACATTGGGCTTAATCTAATTACATGTAATCTAGTAAGGACAAATGGAAAGTCTTCTACTTGGTTAATTTCTCTAGCTATTGAAAAACTATTGCAGATCGATTGAAATTTTCAATCATGGATCTTTTAGGTATTAAGGAAAGTATCAATCAATTATATTTTTCAATGGAGATTAAATTGATTTAACAGCTCAAGAATCAGTCCCCTGCATCCTATTATCACCATCTTTAGTACCTGTCTCTTAACTTGGAACTCTCCTTTGGTTGCAATAGATTTTTTTCCTCTCTCTGTCACTTTGTTTTGACCTTGCCAATCCCTTCCTCAGGCTTCATAATGCCCACTGCCCCAGTCCAAGACCTTCTTGCTGCTCTTTAGAGCCCTTCACTGTAGCATCTTGGACCATCCCACCTTTCCAGAACATTGTTTCTTCTTTCATGCATCTTTGCCCCACCTCTAAGCTCTCTAAAACAACACTGTGTGTCATATTCAATTTTTATATGATCTGGGAAACAGGAATAGCATTAATCATAGAGCATGAGATTTTAGGTAAGCCCTTCTCCCCCCAAAGTTGCCAGTTTGTAAAAATGTAGGAAATTCTATCATTAGAGATTGATTCCTTTGGTTTAAGGCACTGTGGTCTTCAAAGGTTCTCTGTTAAAATACTAAAATCTATAGAGGCATGATACATTAAATGAATGTAACCTGGGATTCAAGCCTTTGCATTTACACAATACTTTTCTCAAATGATTTCTTGTTTTGCCTTCTTAGGGCTCTGGGGGAGGAATCCTTCTGCCTTCAAGAGAATACACACAGGGTCTCAATCTCTTTTCAAGGAGAAGTACCTGAAGGAGAGAGAAATTTTGGGAAGAAGTTGACATGTAGAGGAGCTCGGTGCCTCTAGTACGTCCTTATTTCCTGCTTGTCATGTTAGAGAATTTGGGGAATTTCCCCTTGGGTGAGATAGGGATTCTCAAGTTCTTGTTAACTCCACTCCTCTAGCAGGCACAGAGCATCATTCTTTCCAACAGTAAGGAAAATTTTATGGAAATGTTGGAGAATTAAACCCTGGATTACACTATTATGAGTTATTAACACTTTGACAAGATCATCAGATTAACTTTTAAAAAATTATTAAAAGATGTGATAGAAAGGGAAGCTAGGTGGTACAGTAGATAGAGTACTGACCCTGGAGTCAGGAGGACCTGAGTTCAAATCTATCCTCAGACACATGATACTCACTAGTTGTATGACCCCGGGCAAGTCACTTACCCCCAATTGCCTCACCCCAAAAAAAATGTGATAGAAATGTATATTCTATGTTACAAAGGTGAAAAGTATGTTGACTGATACTCCAATCCAGGGTTAGACTGTCATTTTTGTTCAGCTGAGGGGCACAGACATCATTTGATATAACTGCTTGTTTCAGGTTTCAGTTTGTTTTAAAGATTAGTGAAGATTAGGTGCTATTAAGAGACTGAGGAAGAAATTGCTGAGTGGAAAATTAAGTTATTTAATTTTGGCTTTTTCTTGTTTTCTTTAAGAGACCTTCTTTTCCCATTAAGATACGTTTTATGGTGCTCAGTTAGATAAAGTCTAATTCTAAGCTACAAAAATACATATCCAAAGGTCAAGTGATCCCTTATATCAGGACTCTTGTAGCAATAACATTAATGCCATTCAATTCAATTGAATTAAGCAAATTTTTTTAAAGCACCTACTGGGTGGTTGGTATATGCAAAGATGGAAAAATACAGCTTCTGCCATTACAGAATTATGGAATCCCAGAATTCTGTTGGAAGAGATCTCATAGGCCATCTTCTCTAACCTACTTCTCCATAAGCATTTCCTCTAGAAGTGATTACATAGCCCTTCTTTGAAAATCTCCGGGGAGGGGAGACCCATTCTCTCAAAAGACAACTCCCTCACTTTAGAATGGTTTTAATTATTAGAAAGCATTTTCCTTCTTTCAGGTCTAAATGTGCCTGTACAGACTCTTGATATGGTGGCAGTAGAGCATTTGCTCTGGAAAATTCTACCAGGCTAGAAAAGCTTTGAGTATTTATTCCAGTGACATGCTGTTTCTGTTGTCCATAGATCAACCTGAAAAACACAGTGCTTAGCACAGTGCCTAGTCCGTAGTAAGCACTTGATAAATGTTTTTGAGTGACTGATTGACTGACTGGCAAGTAGGAAAAGAACCTGGAGAGAATCAAGGAAACAACGAAGTAAGAATATTAAGAAGGAAGGGGTGATCAATTATGTTAAATGCTTTAGAAAACCTGACGGAGATGAGAAATGAGAGACAACCATTGGATTTAGCAATACAAAGATTCTGGTGACTTTGGAGAGAACAATTTCAGGAGAATGGTATTAATGGAAGTTCATTTTCAGGGGTTAAAGGAATAAATGAGTGTCAAGGCAGTGAGGACAGTAAGCATAGATCATTTTTTTCTAGAAGTTTGGGAAGGCATGAGAGGATTGAGACATAATGATACTTTTCAAGGAAAACACAGATTTTTTAAAAAAGGGTGGAAGGATTGAGTTAGTTTTGTTGAAGTTTTGTTTGTTGTTATTAGGCTAGGGGAGACCAAATCATGCTCATGGGGATAGGGGAAGGGATCCAATGGAAATGGAATGATGAGGGCAGTGGGGGAAAGGGAGTGGAAGGATGAGCAATAAAGCCAGGTCCTGAAAGTATCAAGAAAGAAGAACATGATCAAGAACAAATGGAGACAGTATCCTTGCCAAGGAAGACTGTGCAAAAACTCTACCATGATTCTTTAATGGATATCATTGTACAAGAGAGAAGAGGTTAAAAGATGTCACTAATATTAACTTGCCAAATGCTAATGAAACAGAGCACAGTAACACATGTGCCAGTCAGGTGAAAGGACAGGTTAGCAATGGGACTATTGCATTTCATTTCTTGGTTATTATTTCACTCTTCTTGGTGAGTTAGAACTTGTTTCCTTGTTTAGTTAGACCAATTCATCACCACTTCTTCCTAGTATGCCCATGGATCAAAGATAATCATCTTTATGAACAAATGCTGAACTTGAAGTCATAGAATCTTAGTTCAATCCCTGGCTCTACCACTTAATATTTGTGTGGTCTTTGGTAAGTCACTCACCTCTCTGAGCCTCAGTTTCCTCATCTGTAAATAAGAAGGTTGGATTAGATGACCACTAGCATGCCGTCTAACTCTAGCTCTATGATACCGTGCCCAGTTGAAAATCAAAACCGCTCATTCAGCATATACTTACTGAGTACCTCCTATGTTCAATGTACTGAGGGAGACATAAAGCAGAATAAGTCCCAACACACATTCTGAAGCAACTTTCAGAGATAAGACATACACAAAGAGCTGTAGATTGTGCCATAGTGGAAATGTATACAGAGTACTGCAGGAATTCAGAGATGGGAGAGGTGACTTTTGGGGAAACTATGAGCCTAGCTTCTTCAAAGACTATGTACTAAAGGTCTTGAGATGTTAGGAAGAATAAAAGATCTTTAAAGATAGGTCTTTATGTCTTAAGTATATCAGTATATCATAAGATATATAGTATATATGATATATAGGTATATCCAGAGACAGCATAGTGTAGTGGATAGGGCACCAGACTTGGAGTCAGAAGAGTCTGAATTCAAATCCTGTTTCATGTGCTTACTATCTGTGTGACCCTTGTCAAATTACTTAACCTCTCTGTGATGGTTTCCTCATCTTAAATTCCCCATCATAAAATGAAGAAAATGGTCATAATGGCCTCTAAGTTTCCTTCCAGCTCCAGATCAGGACTCTGTGATAAACTCCCAAGCAGTTTAATATTTCCTTTCTCTGGCAAGTTAATTCTATATACGTAAGAAGGAAATGAAAGATCAATTTCTTGGCCTAGGCATTATGATTTTCTTAACTTTGAATGTTTATACTGGTGCTTCATCATTAGAAAATTGCAACAGACCTGTTCCTATCACCCAGAATAGGTGAATTTTGAAAGTTCTTGAACATTTATGCAGTCATTTGCCCTGAAACAGACACTGTTTACACATCAGCAGTAATAGGAAGGGAATACTCCGAACAAAATCCTAATAATATAATTTGCAGTGTCTTTTCTCTCCTCCCTCCATGCCTCTGTTGCTAAAGAGGTAGGGATGAATTCTTCATTTCCTATTTTATATAGTGATGTGGAGTGGGTTATTAAGAACCTAACATTAAAACTCACAGGTAATGTTTTCAGGGAAGGTATTGCATCCCACAGATGCTGTAATTAGTCTCTGCATGGATTTAATAACTTATATGTACTCATATAAACAGTTCAGTGCTTTGAAAATGAAGAGGATGAAAAGGAAAAGGACCTACATATACAAAAGTATTTGTAGCAGCTCTTTTTGTGGTGGCAAAAAAAAATTGGAAATTGAAGAGACACTCATTAATTGGGGAATGATTGAAGAAGCTGTGGTATATGAATGAAATAGAATACTATTGTGCTGTAAGAAATGATGAACAGGATGTTTTCAGAAAAACCTGGGAAGACTTATATGAACTGATGCAAAGTGCAGTGAGCAACACCAGGAGAACATCGTACACAGTAATAGCAATATTGTATGCTGATCAACTGTGAATGACTTAGCTCTTCTCAGTAACACAATGATCCAAGACAATTTCAGAGAACTCATGATGGAAAATGTTATCCACCTCCAGAGAAAGAACTGATGAAGTCTGAATGCAGATCAAAGCATACTATTTTCACTTTCTTTATTTTTTTCCTGGCTTTTTTTCCTTTTGGTCTGTTTCATCTTTCACATCATGACCAATATGGAAATGTTTTACATAATTAGACACATATAACCTATATCAAATTGCTTACTATTTTAGAGAGGAAGAAAAATTTGGAACTCACAATTTTAAAAAAATGAATGTTAAAAATTGTCTGTACATGTAATTGGAAAAAATAAAATACCATTTAAAAAAAGTGAAGAGGATGAAAACTATTCTCTAGGCTAGAGGTGTCAAACATTTCTCCAGTGGGCCATTCCAGATTAAAATATAATTGG